GGAGAGTAGTCGAGGTCCAGAAGGCAGGTCGGGATAGACGGGGCAGTAGAACAAGGAGGCAGTCAAGAAAGGATCGGTATCACAAACAGGAGTCAGAGCGCAGACAGGCAGGTTACTGGTCCGGGTATGAAGACGATCTGACAGGGCTTGGCTGAAAAACAGGGCTTGATATACTGGGAGAGGTTAGTGGGGAAATGCAGTTCAGCTGGCAGAGTAATTAGAACAGAGTGAGGCAAGGTGAGGATGGTGAGTGGGAAATGCAGTGCAGCTGGCCAGGTAACAAGAGCAGAGCAGGGCGGAGCCAGGTGGAGCTCGTTAGGCAGAGTAGGGAGAGAGTGAGCAGAGTGGCAGAGAATTGAATGCAATTAATGTTGCTACCAGGGAGAGAGAGTGCTCATGACACTAACTCCTTCCCATTTTTGTTCAGTATTTGGTCAGGACTGTTTCTATTATTCATAATTGGGCTACTGTACAAGGAGGGGTGTCCCAATATGTGGTGGTTACCTCCCGCATCAGTGTAGTCAGGCTCAGAACCTGTTCTTGCATTGAAATCTCCACAAAGAAGCACTTTACCCTCTGCCTGAAATTGAATGATTTCTGTATGGAGATTGTCAAAAAACTGATCATCATAATATGATGAATCTGAAGGAGGAGCATAAGCTGCACATATGTATACATCATTGTCACAATAGATTGTATCTTTGTTAAGTTTTAACCAAATGTGATTAGTACCTTTTTTTCATTTCATTCAGTGCTAAGTCCTGCTTATGCCAAATGATGATTCCACCTGAGTCTCGGCCCCGTTTAACATTTTTATGTTTGATTGATGGTAGTAAACTTTCTCTATAGCCTGAGGGACACTGAGTATCTATGTCTCCACGACCCCCATGTTTCCAGTAGGATTATGATGTCCTGTCCCTTGATGTTTTTAATCAATTCTGGATTTGTTGTTTTATAACCAAAATGTGAAGAGTACAGGCCCTGGATATTCCAAGAGCTGATAGTTAATGATCTCATTTATAATAAGTGATATTCACTGGGTTGGAGTAAAGTACATTGAAAAATAAAATAATAACATAGTTATAAAATAGTTTATATAGATATATATATATTATATATATATATATATATATATACATACATACATACATAACATACATACATACATACATACATACATACATACATACATACATACATACATACATACATACATACATACATACATACATACAGTGGGGAGAACAAGTATTTGATACACTGCCGATTTTGCAGGTTTTCCTACTTACAAAGCATGTAGAGGTCTGTAATTTGAATCATAGGTACACTTCAACTGTGAGAGACGGAATCTAAAATAATAATCCAGAAAATCACATTGTAATGATTTTTAAGTAATTAATTTGCATTTTATTGTATGACATAAGTATTTGATCACCTACCAACCAGTAAGAATTCCGGCTCTCACAGACCTGTTAGTTTTTTCTTTAAGAAGCCCTCCTGTTCTCCACTCATTACCTGTATTAACTGCACCTGTTTGAACTCGTTACCTGTATAAAAGACAACCTGTCCACACACTCAATCAAACAGACTCCAACCTCTCCACAATGGCCAAGACCAGAGCGCTGTGTAAGGACATCAGGGTTAAAATTGTAGACCTGCACAAGGCTGGGATGGGCTACAGGACAATAGGCAAGCAGCTTGGTGAGAAGGCAACAACTGTTGGCGCAATTATTAGAAAATGGAAGAAGTTCAAGATGACGGTCAATCACCCTCGGTCTGGGGCACCATGCAAGATCTCACCTCGTGGGGCATCAATGATCATGAGGAAGGTGAGGGATCAGCCCAGAAACTACACGGCAGGACCTGGTCAATGACCTGAAGAGAGCTGGGACCACAGTCTTAGAGAAAACCATTAGTAACACACTACGCCGTCATGGATTAAAATCCTGCAGCGCACGCAAGGTCCCCCTGCTCAAGCCAGCGCACGTCCAGGCCCGTCTGAAGTTTGCCAATGACCATCTGGATGATCCAGAGGAGGAATGGGAGAAGGTCATGTGGTCTGATGAGACAAAAATAGAGCTTTTTGGTCTAAACTCCACTCGCCGTGTTTGGAGGAAGAAGAAGGATGAGTACAACCCCAAGAACACCCATCCCAACCGTGAAGCATGGAGGTGGAAAAATCATTCTTTGGGGATGCTTTTCTGCAAAGGGGACAGGACGACTGCACCGTATTGAGGGAGGATGGAAGGGGCCATGTATCGCGAGATCTTGGCCAACAACCTCCTTCCCTCAGTAAGAGCATTGAAGATGGGTCGTGGCTGGGTCTTCCAGCATGACAATGACCCGAAACACACAGCCAGGGCAACTAAGGAGTGGCTCCGTAAGAAGCATCTCAAGGTCCTGGAGTGGCCTAGCCAGTCTCCAGACCTGAACCCAATAGAAAATCTTTGAAGGGAGCTGAAAAGTCCGTATTGCCCAGCGACAGCCCCGAAACCTGAAGGATCTGGAGAAGGTCTGTATGGAGGAGTGGGCCAAAATCCCTGCTGCAGTGTGTGCAAACCTGGTCAAGACCTACAGGAAACGTATGATCTCTGTAATTGCAAACACAGGTTTCTGTACCAAATATGAAGTTCTGCTTTTCTGATGTATCAAATACTTATGTCATGCCAATAAAATGCAAATTAATTACTTAAAAATCATACAATGTGATTTTTTGGTTTTGGGGGTTTGTTGTTTGTTTTTAGAAAATTTTTCCCCACATGTTTTTTAAAACCCAAAAAAATTTTTTTTTAAAATTTTTCCCCCCCTTTTAATTTTATTTTTAAATTTTAAATATATAAAAAATTTAAAAAAAAATTAAAACAAAAAAACCCTTAAAAATTTTTTTTAAAATTTGGGCCAAAAAAAAGGATATTTAAAAAATTTAAAAAAAAAAAAAGTAATGAATCAATTCCCAAACCCTTTTTTTTTTCCCCTTTTTTAATTAAAGGTTTTTCCCAAAATTAATTTATCAGATTTTTTTGGGGTTTTAAAAGGGGGGGGGGAGGAAAAAAAAAAAGGGGAAAATTTAAGGGGAAACGGGGGCGGGGGGGGGCGGGGGAAAAAAAAGGGGGGAAAAAAGGGGGGGAAAAGGGGGATAAATTTTTTGGGGGAAAAAAAAAAAGGGGGAGGGGGGTTAAAAAAATTTGGGGGTTAAAAAGGGGGAGGGGAAAAAAGGGGGGGGAAAAAAGGGGGGGGGGGGGGGGGGGCTTTGGTTTTTGGGGGGGGGTTTTTTTGGGGGGGGGGGGCCCTTTAAAGGGGGGGGGGGGGGGGGGGGGGGGGAAAGGGTTGGGGGGGGGTTTTTGAGGGGGGTTTGGGGGGTTTTTGGGGGGGGTTGTTTTTGGGGGGGGGTGGGTTTTTGGGGGGGTTTTTTTTCCCCCGGGTTGGCGTTTTGGGGGGGGGGGGTTTTAGGGGTTTTCCCGGGGCTGGGGGTTTTTGGGGCCAAATTTTTTTTGTGGTGGGGGTTTCCCGGTTAAAAAGGTTTTTTGTGGGCGGGTTTTTTTGGGGGGTTATTGAGGGGTGGTGGGGTTTTTTTGGGGGGGGGGGGGTGGGGTTGGTGTATTGGTGTTTGCCCCGGGGGAAAATTTTTGGTGGGTGGGCCCAAAAGGTTTTGGGCGGGTTTTGGGGTTTTCCTTTATCCCTTTTCCTTTTTTGGGGTTGGAGGGGGTTTTTGTGTTTGGGGGGCCCTTTCTGGGGGTGGGGGTTTTTTTGGGGGGTTTCCCCTTTTTTAGGGTTTTTCGAAGGGTTTGGGGGGGGGGGGGGGGTGGTGGGGGGGGTGGGGGTTTGGGGGGGGGTTTAGTGCCCTTTGGCCCACGTTTTTCCCCGTTGGGGTTCTGGTTAATTTTAAATGGGCAGATGGGAGTGAGCCCCAACTTGGGAGCCGGGCCGTTTCTTTTTACTAATATTTTTTGGGGGGGCCCAGAACCCTAGCAATTAAAAACAATTAAAAAAGAGCTAAGAAAAAAAAAAATTTTTATAAATATTATTTTAAATTTCCCTTTTTTTTTTTTGTTGTTTTTTTCTTTTTTTTTTTTTTTGTTTTTTTCCGATGTACTTCCTTAAAAACCATATCTTTAAATTTGTAGGGGCTCATTTTTTCAGCTGGTTTTTGGGTTTTTGGGGTTTTTTTTTTTTTTTTTTTTTTTTTTTTTTTTTTTTTTTTTTTTTTTTTTTTTTTTTTCTTTTTTTTCTTTTTTTTTTCCCTTTTCTCTTCCTTTTCCTCCCCTCTCTCTTCTTCCCCCTTCTGTTTTTTCTCTCTCTTCTTCTCTCCCTCTTTTCCCCTTTTTTCCCCCCCCTCTTCTCTCTCTCCCTTTTTCTCCCTTTTTCTATCTTTTTTTTCTTTTTTTTCTTCTTTTCCCCCCCTCCCCCCTCCCCGTTTTCCCTTAAACCCCCCTTTTTTTTCCCATTTTTCCCCTTTTTAAATTTTGGGGGCCCTTTTCCCCGTTTTTCCTTTTCCCTTTTCCCCCCCCCTTTTTTTGGGCTCCCCCCCCGGGTTTAAAAGGATCCTTTTTGGGGGGAAATTTTCCCCCCGGTTTCCCCCCCCCCCCTTCTCCGGGATCCCCCCTGTTTTGCCCCTCTAATTCCCTTCTAAAACTACCCCCCCCCCCCCCCCCGGAAGCATTTGTGTGAGGCGGGAGTCGCAGGGGCGGAGTGGCGTGGAGGGTAGGAGTAGTGGCGAGTCTGCGGCCGGATGTCGGGAGGGTCTGGCCAAGAGAGAGGGCGGCTCGCGTGCAGCGCGATCGCTCGCTCTCCACGCGCTCTCGCGCTAGAGAGGGCGGCGCGACTCTGCCTCTCTCTCTCTCTCTCTCTCTCTCTCTCTCTCTTCTCTCTCATCTCTCTCTCTCTCTCTCTCTCTCTCTCTCTCTCTCTCTCTCTCTCTCTCTCTCTCTCAGTTCCACTAAAATCTTATCTGTTGTAATGTTGTTTCTTGCTTGATTTTTCATCTTTATCTTTTCACAGTACCCACTGCCCCGCCTCAGAACGTGGCCATCCAATCAGCAACGGCCACCCAGCTGGACGTGACATGGGAGCCTCCTCCATTGGATACTCAGAATGGAGACATCCAGGGATACAAGGTGAAGAGGAGGGTTTCACAAGGATGGAGTTACCATAGAATTCTAATCATTCTAATCATCATTGAAATGTAATGGCAGTTACATGTTTTTGCTTCTCTTTAATCCCAGTGGGATGTAAAGGCTATCTTTGCTGTGAGCTAATATGTGTCTGTTCTCCATATCTCCTCCTCCTTCGCCCTCCAGGTGTACTTCTGGGAGAACCAGCGTAAGAATGAGACGGAGAGGCTGCGCACCCTGTTCCTGCCAGAGGGAGGGGTCAAGCTGAAGAACCTGACTGGATACACCACCTACATGATCAGTGTGGCCCTCTTCAACGCAGCAGGGGACGGGCCCCGGAGCCCCCCGACCAGGGGCCGTACACAACAGGCCGGTAAGGGAGGGACACACACACAGGAGCGGTCTATCTTAAAATGAAAGGAAAGCAATTCTATTGACTCAAATTCAAATTACTCCTCCAACTCCCACAAACCATCCACAGGTTTTTAACTGTGAGCTTTTATACGCTGCACCTAATTGTTGCTGTCAGCATGCCAAGCCAGATATGTGTTAGAAACCACACGGCATAAACATCAGTTCCCTATCAATGACCTCCTTCAGTCTCTTGACTAATCCGCTGGTTCCCTGGACAGTCTGGTTTGGTATAAGATGGTATGAAAATGTTTAGAGGCTGAAAGTCATTTTTTTTCTCTAAGCTCCTTCCTGTGGTTTCTTGGAAATGCTTTGTCTCTGGCTCAGTGTTCTAAATAGCAACAGAAGACAGTCGCCAGATAGTATTTCCCTCCAAATATATTTTTCCCTCCCTTCTGTACAGTCACTGTAGAAATGTGTTTTTCATCCGATCCCCTCGTAAAAAGGAAAATGTTTGCAGTTTTCTGTGTTTGATATCTCAAGCGGGAGTGGGGGGGGGGAGGGGGGGTGAAAGGGGGGTGGTAGATGCATAGGGGGCTGTAGAACACAGAAGCAGGTGACAAGCGTGTTGAGGAGAGGAGATGCACAGGACTGATAGCAGGAGGCTCACCACACAAAAACGCCTGTTTTTCAGAGGGTTACAAATAGTCTCAACAACTTTAGAGAACAGGAGATCTGTGTTCACTGTGCAGTAGTAGTGTCACCAGCTCATCTATGTCACTGTAGCCTATAGGAATATGATGGTATGATGGCTGTCATGGGAATAAATAAATGACACTAAAAACAAACAACATGTCCTAAATAGTTTTTGCTAATACTTTCCAATCATCACTCAGATTGTCCTGTGTTCTGAGGCCATCATAAGTTGTCCTGGGTTCTGAGGCCATCATAAATAAATTGTCCTGTGTTCTGAGGCCATCATAAAAAGACAATCCAAGATGTAGCACTAATGTTTATGCCCCCTAACCCTTAACATTTGACCCCTGACCTTTGTGTCCTCTGAACCCAGCCCCCAGTGCTCCCAGCTTCATCCACTTCAGTGAGCTGACCACTACGTCGGTCAACGTGTCCTGGGGTGAGCCCACCTACCCCAACGGCATTCTGGAGGGCTACCGGCTGGTCTACGAGCCCTGCACCCCCGTGGACGGTAAGACACCCACCTCGTCATGTCCCACATCTCACCTCACATCTGACACAATTAACGTCCATTTCTGAAGATGCATCCCAAATGACACCCTATTTCCTATGTAGTGCACTACTTTTGCCCTATATAGGGAGTAGAGTGTAATTTGGGACACAAGCTGAGTCTCTCACTGTATGAGGCTAAACATCAGCTAACTTAATAACTACATTGAAAACTATATTTTTCCATTACTGAGTGAGTGGTGGCCATCATTGCCTTTGTTGACACCAAATAGCATGCTGAATCAGTTGATAATGTTGCTATGTTAACCCTTTTAATTAATTTCCCATGTATGTCCCAACAACTGTTGGAGTGTGCCTATGTCAGTTTGTGTGTGTGTATGTATGTGTGTGTTTCATGTTGTTCCAATCCATTCCCTGGGTAATAGCCCCACTCTAAATGTGGTGTGTTTGTCTAGAATCTTCCGTGGCCTGTGCCGACTGTCTTCACTCCCCCTCCCCCCCAGGCGTCAGTAAGATAGTGACGGTGGATGTCAAAGGGGCCCCGTTCTGGATGAAGATCAAGGATCTGGCTGACGGGGTCACCTACAACTTCAGGATCCGGGCCAAGACGTTTACCTACGGGCCTGAGGTGGAGGCTAACATCACCATGGGGCCTGGGGAAGGTTTGTCTACCTCTGGCTGTCTTTGTAGTTCACTGAGGCCCACATTATAACTTGCAATATGCACACTTAGCTCAACATTCTGTGCAAATCTTCAATTAACATCAATACAAGGTTTACAAATGTCAGAGTGTGCTGATCAAATCAAATCAAATTATATTGGCCACATGCGCCTAATACAACAGGTGTAGACATTACAGTGAAATGCTTACTTACAGCCCTTAACCAACAATGCATTTATTTTTAATAAAAAAAGTAAAATAAAACAACAACAAAAAATTGTTGAGAAAAAAAGAGCAGAAGTAAAATAAAATAACAGTAGGGAGGCTATATATACAGGGGGGTACCGGTGCAGAGTCAATGTGCGGGGGCACCGGCTAGTTGAGGTAGTTGAGGTAATATGTACATGTGGGTAGAGTGACTATGCATAAATAATTAACAGAGTAGCAGCAGCGTAAAAAGATGGGGTGGGGGTGGGGGGGCAGTGCAAATAGTTTGGGTAGCCATGATGATCTGTTCAGGAGTCTTATGGCCTGGGGGTAGAAGCTGTTGAGAAGTCTTTTGGACCTAGACTTGGAACTCCTGTACCGCTTGCCGTGCGGTAGCAGAGAGAACAGTCTATGACTAGGGTGGCTGGAGTCTTTGACAATTTTGAGGGCCTTCCTCTGACACCTGGATGGCAGGAACCTTGGCCCCAGTGATGTACTGGGCCGTACGCACTAACCTCTGTAGTGCCTTGCGGTCGGAGACCGAGCAGTTGCCATACCAGGCGGTGATGCAACCAGTCAGGATGGTCTCGATGGTGCAGCTGTAGAATTTTTTTAGGATCTGAGGACCCATGCCAAATCTTTTCAGTCTCCTGAGGGGGAATAGGCTTTGTCGTGCCCTCTTCACGACTGTCTTGGTGTGTTTGGACCATGATAGTTCATTGGTGATGTGGACACCAAGGAACTTGAAGCTCTCAACCTGTTCCACTACAGCCCCGTAGATGAGAATGGGGGCGTGCTCAGTCCTCTTTTTTTTCCTGTAGTCCACAATCATCTCCTTTGTCTTGGTCACGTTGAGGGAGAGGTTGTTATCCTGGCACCACATGGCCAGGTCTCTGACCTCCTCCCTATAGGCTGTCTCATCGTTGTCTGTGACCAGGCCTACCACTGTTGTGTTGTCGGCAAACTTAATGATGGTGTTGGAGTCGTGCCTGGCCATGCAGTCATGGGTGAACAGGGAGTACAGGAGGGGACTGAGCATGCACCCCTGAGGGGCCCCCGTGTTGAGAATCAGTGTGGCAGATGTGTTGTTACCTACCCTTACCACCTGGGGGCGGTCCGTCAGGAAGTCCAGGATCCAGTTGCAGAGGGAGGTGTTTAGTCCCAGGATCCTTAGCTTAGTGATGAGCTTTGAGGGCACTATGGTGTTGAATGCTGAGCTGTAGTCAATGAATAGCATTCTCACGTAGGTGTTCCTCTTGTCCACGTGGGAAAGGGCAGTGTGGAGTGCAATAGAGATTGCATCATCTGTGGATCTGATGGGGCGGTATGCAAATTGAGTGGGTCTAGGGTTTCTGGGATAATGGTGTTAATGTGAGCCATGACCAGCCTTTCAAAGCACTTCATGGCTACAGTCGTCAGTGCTACGGGTCGGTAGTCATTTAGGCAGGTTATCTTAGTGTCCTTGGGCACGGGGACTGTGGTGGTCTGCTTGAAACATGTTGGTATTACAGACTCAGTCAGGGACATGTTGAAAATGTCAGTGAAGACACTTGCCAGTTGGTTAGCACCTACTCGGAGTACACGTCCTGGTAATCCGTCTGCCCCTGCGGCCTTGTGAATGTTGACCTGCTTAAAAGTCTTACTCACATTGGCTACGGAGAGCGTGATCACATAGTCATCCGGAACAGCTGGTGCTCTCATGCATGCTTCAGTGTTGCTTGCCTCGAAGCGAGCATAGAAGTGGTTTAGCTCGTCTGGAAGTCTTGTGTCACTGGGTAGCTCGCGGCTGTGCTTCCCTTTGTAGTCTGTAATAGTTTTCAAGCCCTGCCACATCCGACGAGCATCAGAGCCGGTGTAGTACGATTCAATCTTAGTCCTGTACTGACTCTTTGCCTGTTTGATGGTTCGTCTGAGGACATAGCGGGATTTCTTATAAGCATCCGGGTTAGAGTCCCGCTCCTTGAAAGCGGCAGCTCTACCCTTTAGCTCAGTGCGGATGTTGCCTGTAATCCATGGCTTCTGGTCTGGGTATGTACGTACGGTCACTGTGGGGACGACGTCATCGATGCACTTATTGATGAAGCCAGTTAAGATTAGGCACTGAATATGCCATAATATCTTTGAAAGTATATTGAGGCTGCCTGACCCTCAAACCTTTCTCTAACCTTTGACCCCACCTTTGACCCCATGCAGGAGCCCCGGGCCCCCCTGGAGAGCCCTTCATCTCCCGGTACGGCTCGGCTCTAACCATCCACTGGGCCAACGGTGACCCCGGGAGGTCGCCTATCACACGCTACGTCATCGAGGCCAGACCCTCAGGTATATACACCCAACACGTGACATACTGGACTCCACTGCTTGACGTATTCCTTTTAGCTTCTAGTGGAACAAAGAGCCTCAGCAGTGCATCTGCAGTGAACCCTGTCCATGTTCACATACTGGACACTTCCAGATTGATCCACAGTTCACATTCTTTCCAATCATGCAATCTCTTAGCCCGGCCTCATACTTGCTTGGACAGGAATGATCTGACTAAGAATAGAGTGTCAATGTGGTTCCACAGATGGTGATGCTCACTCTCTATTATTTTAATGGAGTATTGATTGAGGTGCAGCAGAGCTTGAGACGTAGTGTCAGGTTTAATCTGTGATTGGGAAAGGGGGTAAAGGGGGATACCTAGTCAGTTGCACAACTGAATGCATTCAACTGAAATGTGTCTTCCGCATTTAACCTAACTCCTCTGAATCAGAGAGGTGCAGGGGGCTGCCTTAATTGATGCCCACGTCATCGATGCACTGGGATTGACAGCCGTACAGAGGGAATAAAGGGAGGCACAGAGGGAGGGATGGATTACACTACCAGTTTCTTAAAGGACAGGGGAAGAGGGGGACAGGGAGTTGGGGGGTACTAAGTCCCAGAGGTTGAGAGTATGGGACTGACTGACATGGTGGGAAACCCCTGTAGGCAGCAGCGGCTTAGCCTGGTATGGATTACATTGATCTCCCTAGAGCAGGGGTATTCAACCTTATGGTTTTCTGTCATAGTCAGGAAAAACTGCTGGCGCACTACACATTCAATTGATCCTTCAGATCTTCACTTCTTCACTACTGACAGAAACGTTAAATGAACTCTTGGTGTTGGCTGATGTTCTTGAGCACTCCATAAACGCTGTCAAACTCCAAATAATATTTATGGTTATTAGCACTTATGGATTCTGGCAGCCATTATAAAAGCAAACATTAAACATCCCATAATAGTCCCTCTTGTGAATCATACCTTCCCACATTTTGTATCCTTATTTATACCTCTCAAAGACCAGAGAGCCCCATACAGATTATGGGAGATGTAAAATGTATCAATTGCGTAATGTGTATTGTGGTATGAGTTACCTTGGACATTGTCAGATTGTTTTCATACCATAGGCTTTTAAACAAGCTTTTATATCAATGAGTCTCGTTTACCACTCTGTTTTGTCATGTCTGATTACTACTCATCCAAATACCTTCTTCTGCTACTACTTCTACTCTGCCAACAGATGAGGGCTTGTGGGATATCTTGATCAAGGACATCCCAAAGGAAGTAACATCATACACCTTCAACATGGACATTCTGAAGCAAGGGGTTAGTTATGACTTCCGGGTCATTGGAGTGAACGACTACGGCTACGGGTCTCCTAGCCCACCCTCAACCTCCATATCTGGTGAGTTATTTCATATATCTACATTATGTCCCAGATGTCACCCTATTCCCTAGTACACTACTTCTGGCCAGTGCTCATAGGGGTGCCATTTGGGACACGCACTAGTCATTGAGCTTAAGGTTTTCATGTTAATCAATGACAATCTTACTTCATTATATAGAATATAAGACTAATCAGCATAACACAAATATCGCACAAACAGTCATTTTCAGACACTACCTTTGCATTTGTGCTCCCTGCCCTGTCCTTGTGTTTAGTCCCGCTGTTATATGTGCTCTTCTCCTCCAGCCAAAAAGGTGGCGCCATTCTATGAGGAGTGGTGGTTCCTGGTGGTGGTGGCCCTGGTAGGTCTCATCTTCATCCTCCTTCTGGTCTTCATCCTCATCATCAGAGGACAGAGCAAGAAGTACGCCAAGAAATCTGACTCAGGTGAGCGGCAGTGACAAAGATGTCATCGACATGATATTACTAGGCAACAAGGTCCTTGTTATGGTTAGGTTTTCGGTAGTATGGAAAGACGGATCGATGGAGGGAGGGAGGGAGGGAGGGAGAGAGATAGAGAGAGAGACAGCTGTAGAATAGTAGAGGACCTACAGTATCTAGTCTGCTCCTCTCTGACATCAACGGGTCTCTAGTTGTGCAGTCTGCTCCTCTCTGACATCAGCGGGTCTCTAGTTGTGCAGTCTGCTCCTCTCTGACATCAGCAGGTATCTAGTTGTGCAGTCTGCTCCTCTCTGACATCAGCAGGTATCTAGTTGTGAAGTCTGCTCCTCTCTGACATCAGCAGGTATCTAGTTGTGCAGTCTGCTCCACTCTGACATCAGCAGGTATCTAGTTGTGCAGTCTGCTCCTCTCTGACATCAGCAGGTATCTAGTTGTGCAGTCTGCTCCACTCTGACATCAGCAGGTATCTAGTTGTGCAGTCTGCTCAGGCTGGGGACAACGTTTCTGACAGACGAAGCACAAGAGGTCCTTTCTCCTCTTGTCTTCCTTCTCTGCTCTCTACAGACCCCCTGTAACCCCCCTCATGGAATACTGGACCAGTCCAAGTTAACAGATCAGTTTATTATAGTGACTAAATGTTTTGCAGAATGACAGCTTCGCCCCCAGATGCCTTTGGAGGGTCTGGTATGTCAGGGGGGTAGTTGATGTTTGGACCCTTGCCTTCTCGTAGATTCCTACTTCACTCGTAGGCAGGGACTATATTCTCATACTGTAGACCCAGGCCCAATGGAGTCTGCTGATCAAAGCTCTCGCTAAGAAGGGGGAGGGTAGGTCAGAGGGTAGGTCAGAGAAGTAACAACACAAATCAGTTTCAGATCAGCGTCTTTACATCAACATCAGCTGATAAGGCAATTTACCTAGACTTTGTGGGTTTTAGTTTAGGTTTAAAGGCTGTGTTTTTGTTGAATCTTGTGGAGTCTATCATCAATGTTTAGATGCCTGGCTTCACTCGCCAAATATAGTTGTGATGACATTCTGGAATCACTCCAGTCACTCCTCTAGTTTCTATGGAATTCAGTAGTAACAGTAGTAGTGGTAGAGTACATAACATCCATCCATGATTCATCCTCTAGTGTTTCTATACAACTCAAATGGCATCCTATTCCCTATGTAGTGCACTACTTTTGACCAGGGCCTATATAGGGAATATGGAGCCATTTGGGACACAGCCATACAGTAGTAACAGTACTAGAGTGGGCTACATGACATACAGCATTACTAACCCTTACCTGCCTGCCCGTCTGTCCCTCTGGCCTGTGGTCACACAGTGTCTCCCTATGTGTGTTCATCAGGGAACAACTCTAACTGTAACGCCCTGACCCATGGAGATATGGTCAGCCTGGACGAGGGACGATTCCCCACCCTGGAACTCAACAACCGACGACTGTCTGTCAAGAACTCCTTCTGCCGTAAGAACGGTGTCTATACCAGGTCAGTAACCAGCTATGGCCACACCAAGAACATGTCTCCAGCTATGGCCACACCAAGAACATGTCTCTAGCATATCCCACAAGCCCTTTAATAGGACTATGTGTGTTTGGATTCCATGTTAAAGGTACAATCTGTAACTTGAATTTATATTTTCTTATAAATGTATTGTCCTTGCACTGTTTTGTAAGCTGAGGGGTTGGGTCTCGGCATTAGGGCTGGGACGATACCAGTTTTGCAATACTCGTTAGTATCGTGGCAAGGAAACAAAACATGAAATACATACTTCTTTAGGAAAACAGCCTTAATGTTGGAAACAAACATCATCATGTTGTCATCCAGAGTCAAATGTATGTATTTTCCAAGCTACAGCACACCATTTTTTACATACAGCAGGTTTTTAAAGGATCAAAGAGTTTAGTCTGCTTCGTGTTTTCATTTTTGCCATGGAAATAATATTGCGATACTGGTATCGTCCCAGCTCTACTCGGCATGTAAACAAATGTCTTTGCAGTAACTTGAGTTGACACTTTTACTCATTGCACCTTTAACTTGACTGGTTTAAATATGTTTTTGATAGTACTGCATACCCGTGCCAATATATCCTCCAAATACCGGCTTCTCTGGCATTATAACTTAAATGTGTACCAGAAATATACCAGGAATATGCCATCCTTAGGATGTTGTTCTATTACTCCACACAATGTCACATGTACTTTTGTTCTAGCAGTAGAAAGAGGAGGTTGAAGATCCTCACCTTTTCCTAGAGAGAGAGACAAAGGTTTGAAACGGTTGCTTTATTGGAGGTTGAAGATCCTCAGTATTTCCTAGAGAGAGGAATGAAATGGTTGCTTTATTGGAGGTTGAAGATCCTCAGTATTTCCTAGAGAGAGAGAGAGAGGATTGAAACAGTTGCTTTATTGTTTTATTTGAGCCATTGTGTTTACATCTTCAGTGATAACCAGTGGTGGATTTTCTTGTTTGTTAAATTTACGGATAGCCAGGGGCATGCTCCAACACTCAGACATCATTTACAAACGAAGCATGTGTTTAGTGAGTCTGCCAGATCAGAGGCAGTAGGGATGACCAGGGATGTTCTCTTGATAAGTGTGTGAATTATAATAAGTGTTATTGAAGTGTTGTGGTTGCAGGTTCACTTGGCACATCTAAAGCCTTTTCTTTTGGGGTGTTGCTATATGCCACCAAGTGCTAACAGTCAGTATCGAAATAATATGTGTGAAATGCTTGGTAGTGTATGTGATGTAAACAGAGAGGTCTACTTTCTTGGGGACCTGAATATTGACTGGCTGACTTACTGCAAATTAAGAAATTATGTGACTAAACTCAACAAAAAGAAAAAGAAACTGTATTATGAAGCCAAGATCAATGATATAAAGAAAGATGGAAAAACATTTTTGGAGTGCTTTAAATGATGGGCAGAAAGACTAATTCAACTCCATCGTTCATCGAATCAGATGCCTTATTCATCACAAAACCATACGATGTTGCCAATTATTTTAATGATTACTTCATTGGCAAAGTGGGCAAACTTAGGCAGAAAATGCCAACAATGAACAGTAAGACATCGTATTAATGCAAAAAAAAACAAATAATGAAAGAAAAGCATTGCAAGTTTGAATTTTGTAAAGTTAGTGTGAGAGAGGTGGAAAAATTGTTATCAATCAATAATGACAAACCTCCTGGCATTGACAACTTAGATGGAAAGCTACTGAGGATGGTAGCTGACTCTAAAGCCATCCTGTCTGTCATATCTTTAATCTGAGCCTAGAGGAAAGTCTTTGTCCTCTGGCCCGGAGGGAAGCCAAAGTAATTCCGCTACCCCAGAGTGGTAAAGCGGCTTTTACTGGTTCTAACAGCAGACCTATAAGCTTGCTGCCAGCTCTTAGCAAACTGTTGGAAAAAATGGTGTTTGACCAAATACAATGCTATTTCTCTGTAAACAAATTAACAACAGACTTTCAGCATGCTTATAGAGAAGGGCACTCAACATGTACAGCACTGACAAAAATGACTGATGATTGGTTGAAATAACTTGATAATAAGAAGATTGTGGGAGCTGTACTGCTAGATTTCAGTGCAGCCTTTGATATTATTGACCATAACCTGTTGTTGAATAAACATATGTGTTATGGCTTTTCAACCTATGCCATATCGTGGATTCGGAGCTATCTATCTAATAGAACTCAAAGTGTTTTCTTTAATGGAAGCTTCTCTAATGTCAAACATGTAAAGTGTGGTGTACCGCAGGGCAGCTCTCTAGGCCCTGTACTCTTTTCTATTTTTACCAATGACCTGCCACTGGCATTAAACAAAGCCTGTGTGTCCATGTATGCTGATGATTCAACCATATATACACATCAGCAAGCACAACTAATGAATCCACTGAAACCCTTAACAAAGAGTTGCAGTCTGTTTTGGAATGGGTGGCCAGTAATAAACTGGTCCTGAAGATCTCTATAACTAAGAGCATTGTATTTATACAAATCATTCCCTAAGATCTAGACCTAGCTGAATCTGGTAATGAATGGTGTGGCTGTTGAACAAGTTGAGGAGACTAACGTACTTGGCGTTACCTTAGATTGTAAACTGTAATGGTCAAAACATATAGATTCAATGGTTGTAAAGATGGGGAGAGGTCTGTCCGTAATAAAGAGATGCTCTGCTTTTTTGACACCACACTCCAAAAAGCAAGTTCTGCAGGGTCTAGTTTTGTCTAATCTTGATTATGGTCAAGTGCTGCAAAGAAATATCTAGTTAAGCTGCAGCTGGTCCAGAACAGAGCGGCACGTCTTGCTCTTCATTGTAATAAGAGGGCTGATATAAATACTATGCATGCCAGTCTCTCTTGGCTAAGAGTTGAGGAGAGACTGACTGCATCACTTCTTCTTTTTATAAGAAACATGAATGTGTTGAAAATCCCAAATTGTTTGCATAGTCAACTTAAACACAGCTCTGACACACGCACTTACCCCACCAGACATGCCACCAGGGGTATTTTCACAGTCCCAAAAATACAGAACAAATTCAAGAAACCATACAGTATTATATAGAGCCATTATTGCATGGAACTCCGTTCCATCTCATATTGCTCAAATAAACAGCAAACCTGGTTTAAAAAAACAGATAAAACAACACCTCACGGCACAACGCCTCTCCCCTATTTGACCTAGATAGTTAGTGTGTATGTATTGATATGTAGTCTGCGTGTGCCTTTAAAAAAATGTTTTATATAGTTCTGTCCTTCAGCTGTTATTTTCTATTAATGTTCTGTATTATGTCATGTTTCATGTTTTGTGTGGACCACAGGAAGAGTAGCTGCTGCTTTTGCAACAGCTAATGGGGATCCTAATAAAATACCAATACCAGATCAGACTGCAGAGTGGGGAATGTGAAGGGATGAGGTTACAGATTCGTGACTTGTTAAGGCCAACAGCAGACAGACAGCAGAATTGGGCCGGTCTGGGCCGGTCTGGGCCGGGCTCTAATCCCACATGCTCATCAATTCCTGCAACGGCTCCTGGAAGACGGATGTTAGGGTTGTCCAGACTCCAGGCAGCCGGGACATGACAGGGGAGATAACAGGGGAACAGAAAGACCAGACCAGATTCAGATTCAGAGTGTTAGATACTACTGCACTGTTGGAGCTAGGAACACAAGCATTTCGCTACACCCACAATAACATCTGCTAAATAGGTGTATGTGACCAATACAATTAGATTAGATTTGATAATAGTCACATGTACAGGGTTGCAGGTGTGATTGCAGGGTGCAGTGAAAATCTTAGGCTCCGAGCTCCAACATGCAGGACTAAATGAAATAAAATAATGACAATGGTAATAAAAACAACAACAATAGAACTAGCACTATATACATGATAACTGTAGCAGTGATGATGAAATACATGTCCATTGGGGTGGAGGCAGAGTAAAGACTGTTGAGGGGTGGGTGTGGGGGGGGGGGTGACCATAGGGGGTGGGGGGACCAAGTGAAACAATGACCTGAGATAGCTCAACATGATCTTATCTGGAGGAGCAAGGTGAGAGATGTAGGTTTGCAGCTTGTATCGCTTCGCTTATCAAACAATGCTGTCCTTCATTAGTGACTGTTTGTCCTCCTCTATCTAGAACAGCTGTCTGCAACGTCACAGGGGAGGAGGTTCTAGGATCAAGGATTTACTAACTACCGTCTCTGGGCCAAATGAACCGCTCCCCTTCTATGGGCCAAATGAACCCCTCCCCTTCTCTGGGCCAAATGAACCCCTCCCCTTCTCTGGGCCAAATGAACCCCTCCCCTTCTATGGGCCAAATGAACCCCTCCCCTTCTATGGGCCAAATGAACCCCTCCCCTTCCGAAAGATGCCCGCGTGAAATCATGATTCGTCCAAATAATCAGCGATGCAAAAACCACCGCAGTGGTAGAATTGTTCCTCATAACCCTCATATCCTATTTTAATGTTTCGTCTTTCATAACCTAGACACAGTGGAGATAGAAAATGACAATAATATGTTAGCTTTCCATTGTGTGCGTTTCACTCCTGCATCCAAGTTTAAGTGTATTAAATGTAGTCTTGTTATAAATTATTAACATTATTAGATGTAATTAAAATGCAGCTCTCTCCGTGATTTCCCTAAAGGGTTTTGTGGTTTAGTTAAAATTTGTCAGCACCACGCTCATGATATAAAAAAAAAACGCCCCCCTCCTCCAAATCTCTTTCTCATGAAAGTTTCAAACGTTTACTTAAACGTTGGGATTTAGGAATGCACTCAATCAAAAATCAAAATATTTGTGGAAAAAATAAGGTTGGTTTTGGACCGTAGACCTGAACAGTTGTATGTAGATATTCCATTGGCAGGGCCTTCAGCGACAGTGTGGCCTGAGAAAGACAGAGAGAGGAGAGAGAGAGAGAGGAGAGAGAGATCGATAGAGGCTCTCCCTGCCAAACCAACCAGGGTCAATCAGCAAAAACAGATATCTGATTGTTTAACAGGCTTATAGTGACAGAGGGAGGAAAATGTGGAGGAACTTATGCAGAATGCAAAGCCATCTTTGTTTTGAGAGAGCTGTTCTGAGAGCACCACTTGTGGGTGTTGTGAGGTCTCTCTCTTTCCCCTTCTCTCTCATAACTCAAGCATTCTCAATACCTCCCCTAGACCATGCCCACTAACATTACATATGTTCACTCACTCCATACTCATAAATACCCCCTCTCACTCCACTCCCCATAAATACCCTCTCTCACTCCATACTCATAAATACCCTCTCTCACACGTATCTTTGAATGGGGAGGTTTCTAAAGTGTCACCCACGCTCCCTGAAACATGGCTGTTGACTCTTAAATGGATCTCATGATTCATATGGATGTTGATAACCTTTACAATAAAGCGAACACAACCTGAGCCTTCCTATCTGAGACTGTGTTGGGATTTCTGCCTATACAGTGAGCTCCTCCACTCTACAAGGGTTGAATTTATGAGTCGGTCACAAGGCTAACTGTGCGTGCCATTCCACAGGCAGCCCATATAGTGTTTCATCAGAATATATTATTCATTTCAGGGGATACTGACAGCAGGCAGGCTGGGATCTCATTGCTGTCCCATGATCCTGATAATAAACTCACCCCGCTCCCTCTCCATACCCAACAGTGCCCACAGTGACCGTACATACATACCCCAACCAGAAGCCATGGAATAAAGGCAACATCCGCACTGAGCTAAACCACTACCTAAACAAACACTGCCAGGTGTCTCCGTCAAATACTATCTTCTCTATCCCTTTCTATAGTGAGAAATGCCTGGAGACAGTTCGGTACATTTGACTGATCAGTGTATATCTTTCAGCTTTTCCTGGTTCCTTTCATACAGTTTCTCTGTCCTGTCACTCTGGTGTGTGAATGCGATTTCTCAGTGATTTAATGCAAGTTGTTTATGAAGAGGGTACTAGAGTTGCTTTATTACTTTATCTTATTAGTGTAACTCATTTGAATGCCAAGGTTGTGCATTAGCCAGCGACTGATAGAACTGCCAATGGCTCTGTTCTTGCCATAGAAAGGTAATTACAATGTTATGCTATGTAATTATACACTAAGTGTACAAAACATTAAGAAGACCTTCCTAATATTGAGTTGCACCCCCCTAAGCCTTCAGAAGAGCCTCAATTCGTCGGGGCATTCACTCTACAAGGTGTCGAAAGCGTTCCACAGGGATCCTGGCCCATGTTGACTCCAACGCTTCCCACAGTTGTGTCAAGTTGGCTGGATGTCCTTTGGGTAGTGGACCATTATTGAGACACACTGGAAACTGTTGAGTGTGAAAAATCCAGCAGCGTTGCAGTTCTTGACACACTCAAACCGGTGTACCTGGCACCTACTACCATACGCTGTTCAAAGGCACTTAAATATTTTTTCTTGTCCATTCGCCCTCTGAATGGCACACATACACAATGCATATCTCATTTGTTTCAGGGCTTAAAAATCCTTCTTAATAAGGATCAGACCCTTTTTTTTCAATTTACGCCCGAAATGACATAACCAAATCTAACTGCCTGTAGCTCAGGACCTGAAGCAAGGATATGCATATTCTTGATATCATTTGAAAGGAAACACTTTGTGGAAATGTGAAATAAATGTAGGAGAATATAACACATTAGATCTGGTAAAAGATAATACAAACAAAAAAACATGCGTTTTCATCTTTGAAAAGCAAGAGAAAGGCCAGACAATGATGTAGGATTCTAGGTATTATTTAGATGTTGTCCAGAAGATGGCAGCAGTGTGTGTGCAAATTTTCAGACTCATCCAGTGAAGAATTACATCACTTCACAATATATTGTATCAAGTCTGCCAGGAGTTTTCCCAAATGTACTGAATTGGTAAATGTATACATTTTCATTTACATAACTATAGAGAACATACAAAAATGCTGTGGTAATAAAACATTTAAGTTTACACACTCCCAGGAATGTCATACATGATGGATCATTAGGTTCCCTACAGAAAATACACTAACCTTCAAACCTCTAGATGGCCGGGCGGGGGTTGGTGTGGAGCCAGAGACAGCAGTGGGGTCAAACGGTTGAACCCAGTTCCTACATTTGAATATAAAATGGATTTTTCAAACAAAACTACACTACATTTTATCTCTGGGACCCTCAGGATGACAAATCAGAGCAAGATTACTGAATGTAAGGACATTATTTACCTTCAGAGGTGAATGTATCAAACCAGTTGCCATGATAAGTGTTTTGTTGTTGTGCACTATCCTCAAATAATAGCATAGTATTTATTTTGCTGTAATACCTACTGTAAATTGGACATTGCAGTTAGATTAACAAGAATATAAGCTTTCTGTCCATATAAGACATGTCTATGTCCCGGAAAGTTGGCTGTTGTTTACAATGCCATTTTTGTCACATGAGTAGCAACTGTCCCGGTATAGGGACACCAATCTCGTAGAGGTTAACCTGTCTCCTACCCTTCATCTACACTGATTTGAAGTGGATTTAACAAGTGACGTCAATAAGGGATCATAGCTTTCACCTGGTTAGACTGTCATGGAAAGACCAGGTGTTCTTAATGTGTTGTCTACTCAGTGTATATATATCTCTATATTGTCCTGTCTCCTCAGGTCTCCTCCTCGGCCCAGCCCAGGCAGTCTCAACTACTCTGACGAGGATTTGAGCACCACCAAGTACAACGATCTGATCCCAGCTGAGAGCAGCAGCCCAACAGAGAAACCATCTGAGATATCAGACTCTAAGGTACCGACAGTATGTACTCCCTTTAACGTCTCCCATCTCACTGTCTGTCACACTGTTTATCTGTCTATCAACATATTGGATCCCTCACCTTTACATTGATGCTATGCCCATAGATGCTGATCTGGGGTCAGTTTTGTAACCCCTAATGGTTAAGGTTAGGATTGGGGGATGGACAGCTGAAACTTAAACCCGGAGTGTTTGGCTCAGTGCATCGTCCAGTGTACTGGTAGTGGCCTGTAAGCAAACACTCAGGGCATTGACAGAGTAGGGTTTGGATGTGAAACGTGTTCCATGTCTCTCCTGGTCTCTATGGGGCAGTCAGGCTGAGCTGGAGGCAGGCTCTGGGAGTAGGGCCAGTAGCCAGTGCCCAGCTCTGGTGGTGGTGGTCAGAATCAATCACAGAGGATGCATACACAAACACACATTTACACACAGACTGGAGTGTCTGCTGCGTTCTCAGGCCCAGACTGGATTCCTTCCACAGCCCTATCCTCATTTTGGTTCACCGTTACCCATAATGCCCCTTACAACCCATCCCAGTCTGCTGTGTTGGCATCTGCTGAATCAGAGGGACAGACAGACACACAGGGGGGCCCAATGGGCTGGGGCCCAATGAACAGCTCTCATCAATGAACTGGATCTCTCTCTCTCTCTCTCTCTCTCTCTCTCTCTCTCTCTCTCTCTCTCTCTTTCTCTCTCTCTCTCTCTCTCTCTCTCTCTCTCTCTCTCTCTCTCTCTCTCTCTCTCTCTCTCTCTCTCTCTCTCTCTCTCTCTCTATACAATTCAATTTGAATTTGAGGGTTTTTATTGGCATAGGAAACCTATGTTAACATTGCCAAAGCAAGTGAAGTAGATAGTAAACAAAGGTGAAATAAACATTAAATATTACACTCAGAAGTTCCAAAAGAATAAAGACATTTCAAATGTAATATTATGTATATATACAGTGTTGTAACAATGTGCAAATAGTTAAAGTACAATTGGGAAAATAAATAAACATAAATATGGGTTGAATTTACAATGGTGTTTGTTCTTCACTGGTTGCCCTTTTCTTGTGGCAACAGGTCACAAATCTTGCAGCTGTGATGGCACACTGTGGTTTTTCACCCAGTAGATAAGGGAGTTTATCAAAATTGGGTTTGTTTTCTAATTCTTTGTGGGTCTGTGTAATCTGAGGGAAATATGTGTCTCTAATATGGTCATACATTTGGCAGGAGGTTAGGAAGTGCAGCTCAGTTTCCACCTCATTTTGTGGGCAGTGTGCACATAGCCTGTCTTCTCTTGAGAGCCAGGTCTGCCTACGGCGGCCTTTCTCAATAGCAAGGCTATGCTCACTGAGTCTGTACATAGTCAAAGCTTTCCTTAATTTTGGGTCAGTCACAGTGGTCAGGTATTCTGCCACTGTGTACTCTCTGTTTAGGGCCAAATAGCTTTCTAGTTTGCTCTGTTTTTTTGTTTGTTCTTTCCAATGTGTCAAGTAATTCTCTTTTTGTTTTCTCATGATCTCATGTTGTTGTTGTTGTTGTTGTCCTGGGGCTCTGTGGGGTCTGTTTGTGTTTGTGAACAGAGCCCCAGGACCAGCTTACTTAGGGGACTCTTCTTCAAGTTCATCTCTCTGTAGGTAATGGCTTTGTTATGGAAGGTTTGGGAATCGCTTCCTTTTAAGTGGTTATAGAATTTAACGGCTCTTTTCTGGATTTTGATATTGGCCTAATTCTGCTCTGCATGCATTATTTGGTGTTTTAAGTTGTACACAGAGGATGTTTTTGCAGAATTCTGCATGCAGAGTCTCAATTTGGTGTTTTTCCCATTTTGTGAATTCTTGGTTGGTGAGCGGACCCCAGACCTCACAACCATAAAGGGAATGGGTTCTATAACTGATTCAAATATTTTTAGCCAGATCCTAATTGGTATGTCAAATTTTATGTTCCTTTTGATGGCATAGAAGGCCCTTCTTGCCTTGTCTCTCAGATCATTCACAGCTTTGTGGAAGTTACCTGTGGCGCTGATGTTTAGGCAGAGGTATGTATAGTTTTTTGTGTGCTCTAGGGCAACGGTGTCTAGATGGAATTTGTATTTGTGGTCCTGGCAACTGGACCTTTTTTGGAACACCATTATTTTTGTCTTACTGAGATTTACTGTCAGGGCCCAGGTCTGACAGAATCTGTGCAGAAGATCTAAGTGCTGCTGTAGGCCCTCCTTGGTTGGTGATAGAAGCACCAGATCATCAGCAAACAGTAGACATTTGACTTCAGATTCTAGTAGGGTGAGGCCAGGTGCTCGCAGACTGTTCTAGTGCCCTCGCCAATTTGTTTATATATGTTGAAGAGGGTGGGGCTTAAACTGCATCCCTGTCTCACCCCACGGCCCTGTGGAAAGAAATGTGTGTTTTTTGCCAATTTTAACCGCAGACTTGTTTGTGTACATGGATTTTATAATGTCGTATGTTTTTCCCCCAACCCCACTTCCATCAATTTGTATAGCAGACCCTCATGCCAAATTGAGTCAAAAGCTTTTTTGAAATCAACAAAGCATGAGAAGACTTTGCCTTTGTTTTGGTTTGTTTGTTCGTCAATTAGGGTGTGCAGGGTGAATACGTGGTCTGTTGTACAGTAATTTGGTAAAAAGCCAATTTGACATTTGCTCAGTACATTGTTTTCACTGATGAAATGAACTAGTCTGCTGTTAATGATAATGCAGAGGATTTTCCCAAGGTTGCCGTTGACGCATATCCCACGGTAGTTATTGGGGTCAAATTTGTATTCAACTTTTGTGGATTGGGGTGATCAGTCCTTGGTTCCAAATATTGGGGAAGATGCCAGAGCTAAGGATGATGTTAAAGAGTTTAAGTATAGCTAATTGAAATTTGTGGTCTGTATATTTTATCATTTCATTGAGGATACCATCAACACCACAGGCCTTTTTGGGTTGGAGGGTTTGTATTTTGTCCTGTAGTTCATTCAATATAATTGGAGAATCCAGTGGGTTCTGGTAGTCTTTAATATTTGATTCTAAGATTTGCATTTGATCATGTATATTTTTTTGCTGTTTGTTCCCTGTTATAGGGCCAAAAAGTTTGGAGAAGTGGTTTACCCATACATCTCCGTTTTGGATAGATAGCTCGTCGTGTTGTTGTTTGTTTAGTGTTTTCCAATTTTCCCAGAAGTGGTTAGAGTCTATGGATTCTTCAATTACATTGAGCTGATTTCTGACATGCTGTTCCTTCTTTTTCCGTAGTGTATTTCTGTATTGTTTTAGTGATTCACCATAGTGAAGGCTCAGGTTTTCTGGGTCTCCATGTTTTTGGTTGGATAGGTTTCTCAATTTCTTTCTTAGGTTTTTGCATTCTTCATCAAACCATTTATCACTGTTGTTACTTTTCTTCGGTTTTCTGTTAGAGATTTTTAGATTTGATAGGGAAGCTGAGAGGTCAAATATACTGTTTAGGTTTTCTACTGCCAAGTTTACACCTTCACTATTACAGTTGAACGTTTTGTCCAGGAAGGTTGTCTAGAATGGATTTAATTTGTTGTTGCCTAATTGTTTTTTGGTAGGTTTCAACACTACTTTCCTTCCATCTATAGCATTTCTTAATATTATTCAGTTCCTTTGGCTTTGATGCCTCATGATTGAGTATTGCTCTGTTCAAGTAGACTGTGGTTTTGCTGTGGTCTGATAGGGGTGTCAGTGGGCTGACTGACTGTGAACGCTCTGAGAGACTCTGGGTTGAGGTCAGTGATAAAGTAGTCTACAGTACTACTGCCAAGAGATGAGCTATAGGTGTACGTACCATAGGAGTCCCCTCGAAGCCTATCATTGACTATGTACATACCCAGTGTGCGACAGAGCTGCAGGAGTTGTGACCCGTTTTTGTTGGTTATGCTGTCGTAGTTGTGCCTAGGGGGGCATATGGAGGAGGGAATGCTGTCACCTCCAGGTAGGTGTTTGTCCCCCTGTGTGCTGAGGGTGTCAGGTTATTGTCCAGTTCTGGCATTTAGGTCGCCACAGACTAGTACATGTCCCTGGGTCTGGAAATGATTGATTTCCCCCTCCAGGATGGAGAAGCTGTCTTCATTCAAGTATGGAGATTCTAATGGGGGGATATAGGTAGCACACAGGAGGACATTTTTCTCTGTTGAGATAATTTCCTTTTGAATTTCTAACCAAATGTAAAATGTTCCTGTTTTGATTAATTTAATAGAGTGAGTTAGGTCTGCTCTATACCAAATTAGCAATCAATTTTATTTTATATAGCCCTTCTTACATCAGCTAATATCTCGAAGTGCTGTACAGAAACCCAGCCTAAAACCCCAAACAGCTAGTAATGCAGGTGTAGAAGCACGGTGGCTAGGAAAAACTCCCTAGAAAGGCGAAAACCTAGGAAGAAACCTAGAGAGGAACCAGGCTATGAGGGGTGGCCAGTCCTCTTCTGGCTGTGCCGGGTGGAGATTATAACAGAACCATGCCAAGATGTTCAAAAATGTTCATAAGTGACAAGCATGGTCAAATAATAATCAGGAATAAATCTCAGTTGGCTTTTCATAGCCGATCATTAAGAGTTTGAAAACAGCAGGTCTGGGACAGGTAGGGGTTCCATAACCGCAGGCAGAACAGTTTAAACTGGAATAGCAGCAAGGCCAGGCGGACTGGGGACAGCAAGGAGTCACCACGGCCGGTAGTCCCGACGTATGGTCCTAGGGCTCAGGTCTCTCAGTTGGCTTTTCATAGCCGATCATTAAGAGTTGAAAACAGCAGGTCTGGGACAGGTAGGGGTTTCGTAGCCGCAGGCAGAACAGTTGAAACTGGAATAGCAGCAAGGCCAGGCGGACTGGGGACAGCAAGGTGTCATCATGCCCGGTAGTCCTGACGTATGGTCCTAGGGCTCAGGTTCTCAGAGAGAAAGAGAGAACGAGAGAATTAGAGAGAGCATACTTAAATTCACACAGGACACTGGATAAGACAGGAGAAGTACTCCAGGTATAACCAACTAACCCCAG